CAGAGGAGGAGGCGGAGGCGGAGGAGGAGGCGGAGAAGGAGGTAACCCGAGTGTTTGCAGGAGAGGATCAAAACTTGGAAGGGCACTGAGAACGCAAGGGTGGCAGAGAGGCTGCAGACGTTCCTATGCCCCGAGTGGAGGGAGATGAAGGCGAGTGAAGGCGAAGAGGACGAGGAAGGGGGGGGGCTAGGGGGGAAGCAAGAGGAAGGAGGAGCGAGAGGTGGGGGGAGGGGGAGGGGGAGGGGGAAGGGAGGGGGAGGGGGAAGTTGGGGCAACGAAGGAACGAACCGGTGGGCCAAAGGGAGGGTTGAGGAACGAAGCTCGTGAAAGAGGAGGAAGATGGAGAGAGAGGAGGAAGAGGGGAGGGTAGTAGAGGAGGGGAGGAGGGGAATCGTGAAGAGGGAGGACAGCAGGAGATGGGTTGAAGGAGATTCAGAGGAGGAGAATGTCTGTTGAGTTCATTTTCACGTGCAGTCAAGTACCGGTTTGGATGAAAGAATCCTTGCTGCTGAAGGGTTCTCCTTCTCCAACAAGGGAGAGGTAGGGATTTCTCCTTCCTCATCGTCTCTCTCTCTTCTCCTTCCTTGCTGCTTCCTTCCAATCGCCTTCAGCCCCTCTAGTCCCCTCGACTCTCCTCTGTCTCCTCACAAGCTGCTTCATATCCTTCCTCGCTTGTTCACTCTTTCCTTCTTCCTCCCTCCTCGTCCTTCAATCTGCTAACCTCCATCCCCTCCTCCCCCCCTCTCCTCTTGTCTTATCTTCTTTCAGATATTTTGTGCCTGCTGCCGCACGTCTCTTCCTCCTCTCCCTCCCGGTGAGAGTTTGACGCGCATCAAGGAGCTGGTCATGCCCAAGGTCAAAAACTTCCTTCATACCTTCTTCTCCTCCTCCTCCTCCCCTTCCTCCCCCTTCCTCCTCTCTCCTCTTCCTCCTCTTCTTCTTCCTCTTCCTCCTCGTTTTTGTCCACTTTTTCTACTCCCTGCTCTCCCATGTTTCTCCCCTTGGCTTTCATTCTCCTTCGACTTCCTCGCTCCTTCCTTCCCTCTCCGCTCTCACTTCTCACACCTTTCTCAGACCTGTCGCACAAGGCTTCCTCCTCCTCCTCCTCCCTCGCGCGCTGGAAGCCTCCAACTTCTGGTATGTCCTCCTCCTCCTCCTCCTCGTTCTCCTCCTCGTTCTCCTCCTCGTTCTCCTCCTCGTCCTCCTCCTCGTCCACCTCCTGCTCCTGCTCCTCCTCTTTCTTCTCATTTTCCTCCTGCTCCTGCTCCTGCTCCTGCTCCTGCTCCTCCTTGTTCTCCTCCTCCTTGTTCTCCTCCTCCTCCTCCTCCTGACTGCCAGCAGCGCGGCTTCATGCTCGGGTTCTGCGAAGAGATGTTCACGCCGAGCGATAGCAAGTCAGCAGGAAACGGGACAAACTACAGAAAAGTGAGCCCCTCCCCTCCCATACTCCAGCTTTCCTGCTCTCCTCCCCTCCCATACTCCTGCTTTCCTGCTCTCCTTCCCGCCTGCCCTCCTGCCCTTCTGTTCTTGTCCTCTCCTGCTCACCTGCTTTCCTGCTTCCTTCTTCTGATCCCTCCTCCTCTCCCTCCCCTCCCCCCTGACTTGTCAGCAGATGACGTATGCATGGATGGAGCCGGAGAGCTTCGAGGAGTTGGGGAAGGAGGAGGCAGGACGGGTGCTCATCGACCTCAACCGCGTCATTTTGCGGTCAGTCTTTCCCTCTCTCTACTTCCCTTATGACGTCTCTCAGCTTCACATGCAAGGAAGCGACGCACTGAAGGTCCTTGGGAGGAGCTGAGGTGGGGAGGAGGCGGCTAGAGTTGTTGCTGGTGATGGAGCAGTAAAGGAGGTGGTTGTTGGTACCAAACACAAGGAGTGGGAAGTGAAGAAGGGGGCAGGGTGAGGGAGAGGAGGGAGGGAGGGCGAGAGGGAGGGGAGGGAGGGCGGGCGGGAGGAAGAGAGGAGAGGGAGAGAGGAGATGGAGAGAGGAGAGGGAGAGAGAAGAGGGAGGGAGGAGAGGGAGGGAGGGAGGGAGGGAGGAAAGTCGTTGGTGGTGGTTGAACTTGCAAAGCGGATATAGGAGAGAGATTGGAAATTGTGACAAGTGAATAAAAGAATAGAATACGATTTCTTGTCTAATATCGTTAGAGCTATCTTACAGGGATATTCTATGAATCATATTCGTCTCCTCTCCTCCTCCTCCTCTACTTCCATGGGTCTTCCTCCGACTCCTTCAAATCAACTCTGGCACCAGCGGGATGGAAGGGCACACGTCACCAGTGGAGGAGGAGCAGGAGGAGCCGAAGCTCATGCTCGTCTCCCCCTCATCCTCCTCCACCTGCTCGATGTACCTGTGAAGGAGCGACTTGTCACTTCGCTTCCTCCGGATTTTTTCGAGGCAGCTGAGCAGCGAGACCTCGTGCTGCTGCTGCTGCCGCTGCTGCAGCCAGGGATGCTTTAGAACGCTTCTCAACGAGAGCCGTTCCTCGGGAGCCTGACGCAGCATCGCTCCCACCAGGTCCTTCTCCTCCTCACTCCAGCAGGCAGGGAGCGCAAGCTTTGCTGCTGCTATGTTGCTGTAGAGCTCCTCGATGCTGTCGCCCTGGAAGGGGAGCTCCTCCTCTAGCAGGACGTACAGCGTCACTGCTGCCGCCCACAGATCGCTCAGCACCATTGAGAACGGCAGGCCGCGAGCAGCCTCAGGCAGCTGGAACTCAGGCGTTCCCACCACCACCTGTGTCATGTCGGAGGTGAACTGGTCGATCCTCTCAGCGGAACCGAAGTCGACGAGCTTGACAAGGCCGTCGGAGTTGAGGAGGAGGTTGGAGGGCTTGATATCTCGGTGCACCACCCCCTTGCTGTGACAGGCGCTGATCCCGCTCATGAGCTGAGCGAAGATCTCTCTGCACATGGAGGAGGGGAGGCCATGGCGGGGAGCAAGGAGTCCAGCATCCTCTCGCTCCCTCCGGTGCTCAGCATGTGCCTCCAGCAGGTTCTGGATGCTGAAAAGATTGGCGAGCTCGAACACCAGGTACACCTGCTGCCCGTCCTCGAGCCCTATCACGTCCAGCAACTGGATCACGTTCTGGTGCCTGACCGACCTGACGCATCGGATCTCCTTCCTCAGCTTCTTCTCCCCGTCCTTGATCTTTCTGATCGACCTCCTGCTCATGATCTTCACCGCTACTCGCATTCCGAAGTCCTCGCTCCCCTCCTTGACTACCAACCCCTCCTTCACCTTCCCGAAGGACCCCTCCCCGAGCTCGTCTCCCAGCACGTAGTCACCGACTCTCCTCAGAGAGCTTCTGCGAGACGGGGAGATGGAGAGATCTGCGATACACTCCATGTCTACTCGAGCCTGATCTGTTCTTGACATTGCTGCTTCAATCACGTCCATCATGATGTTCTTCTGTCTCTGGTCACTCCCCGATGCCTTCACTTGTTCATCGCATGATGATTTGCCCTCGTCTCCCACAATGCTTCATATACCTGCCGGCAACACATCACATGCGCATTCGGAGCAATCACATTAGGAATGTCATGCTGTTCGTTTTGCCTGTGCCTTTTCATTCCAAATCATCTCTTGGACTCAAACTTATGGCAGGCAAGCTCTCCTTTCTCATCTTGTACATCTTCTGAACGCTCTTCTCCCTCGCTCTATCTCTCTCTTCGCTCCTCTGCCCTCCCTCGCATTTTCGTACGATGTTGAGTCCCCTGGCAGGGGAAGATGGAAAGGTTCTGGTTCTTCTACCCGGTCCCTTTCCAGACATTGAAGTGGGTAGGGGGTACCTTTTGGGGACTGAGCGCTGTAAATGATGGGGTATAAATCACAGATATCAGGGGGTGGGGGTAGGCAGCGGGGGAACAAGGTAGACGACCGGGGTAGTGAACAGGGAGGGGGTGGGGTGGTGGCGTGCAAACGTGTTCATAGGAACAAGGGAACAGGGGCGTACTTTCAAAGGACATAGAAGGGGTGGGGTGGTGTGATCCTGGGGAATAAGGGGGGTATAATTGTGGTATCTGGGTAGGGTGGGGTGGTATGTGGGGTAGTGAAGGGGAAGGGGAATGGGGCATGTGGGGGAGATTTGTAAAAACGTGGTTGAGCAAAGTTTGATAAAATATTATAAAATGAGTTTAACTAATATTTAGTACGATATATATATGGCCTTCTATAAATAGCCGATATAAAAGTACATAACGTACATTTTTATTTGTACCTATTCACCGAATAATATTTGTATTGATGCCGTACAACAACTTAGTACCAGCAGTTCCTTTCACTTTTATATTTCACATGGGTCGCTCGGTAATCTCCCGAGTGACAGGTTCTCTTCCCCGAGTCTGCTGGCGGGCCTGACCAGTCGCTCAGTCTCGGGGCTACCGGATTCCCCCGGATCGGAGCGGCGGAGAGGCTGCTCGGCCTCGTTCACCACACTGAGAACAGACTGAGAAGTTGATCTAGGCTGAAAGTTTGGTCTTGATTCCCAAGAGCGATCGACGCAGCTGAGGAACCGCCGAGGCTGAGAACGGTCTTGGTCGCCGAGCCGCATTGAACTGACTGGCTGACTGCCTATCGGGCTCATCGGCCTCACTGCCCATGGTGATTCAGAGAGAGGAACAAGTTCGGAGCAGTCGGGAACCTCTGGAACAGTCCATGCCCGAACTCGTTCCATCTGCTTGTCGAAGAAACAGCCTGCAGCTCCTCTTGCTGTTCCTGATGCCAACCGGGTCAGCAAGTCACTTCCCCACCTGCTTTGTTGCACCTGCTGCTCATAGAACATTGATTCGGCCTTTGCTCGCGACCTACCCCATGGGGTCAGCGATCGTTTGATGGCAGGAGGAAGCAGAGGAGTGTACTTGGGGCTGAGCAAGCTCAACGCTGCTTTCTGCTTGCCTCGGAGCATCAGCCTCCGCATCTGTTCAAGTCAAGTGGACATGTTTGCGAGACATCAGTGTTGCTCACCTTGATCTCATTGATTGGGAGAAAGAGGCCAATAGAGTGCATAGCGTCCAATGTTGTCTTGTTGTCTTTCTCTTTCATCCTGGAGACAACTGTAAGAAGCAGCCAGTGCCGCTGCATCATGCAACCTCAAATCCTTGAGCATCATCTTAATCTCCAGCAGTTCATCAACCGCCTACCAAAGAATGATCGGATCAGCAAAACTGTTCATGGTCGGGTTTCTTCGCAAACATCACCGAGCCGATTCCAAGAACTTTATCTTGATCGATCTTATCTCCTTGAATCATTCGGTGATTGATGTCTTTCTCTCTCCTCTCCGCAAGATACTTTTCTGACATTTGCATTCGTACCTAGCATCCAATGTCTCATGTGGCCGTTTCAGCAGGACTGGTGATATCGTACAGTGAGCTTGCCTATGTAACTCTGCGAATTCCTGGCCTTGATCCTGTTTCGGACCATCAAAGATATCAGCGGAATTTCGATTTCACCTACCTCAGCGATCTCTGTCTACGATCGTTCCTTATCAACGTCTCTTGCAACTGTCCTTCAAGGCTCAGCAGGATGAGGGGAGACGAGCATGGCAGAGATAGCACTCACATCGAGCTGTGTCTGTGAGATCACCGGGATCACGCGGGATCCCAAGCTCCCTTGTGACTTGAGTGCAGCCTTGCTCATGTCTCAACTGAGTTGCTGCATCAGCAGAGCCATGAAAGTTGTCTCATCACGAGAGCTGACCTCAACATCTCATTGAAAGTTGTCTCATCACGAGAGCTGACCTCAACTTCTCATTGATGTCCTCCAACCTTCATAATGATCCTTCTCACCCTGCCATTTCGCCCTTTCAGTGACGTCCGTTGAACTTGTCCCTCATCCCCACTCTTGCCCATTCACCCCCTTGACTTTTCTTGTCAAGAGTTTTTTTTCAGCAATGTCAGAGGCTCGGTGGGGGTGGGGTGGTGAAGATCCATCAGTCTGGATTAATGTGGGGTACTTGAAAGAGAAAAAGAGGGGTTATTGGGGAAGGGGCCTTCTGAGAGTAGGGGTGATGTTAAAACTGTTTTAGGTGTCAGTCGGGGAGTGACGATGGCCAGGGGGAACAAAAGAAAAGAGGAGGAGGAGGAGAAGGAGGAGGAGGAGGAGGAGGAGACACTTGGAGGTCCTTCAGAGTTCAAGGAGGAAGAGAGGTCCAGAAGAAGAGGTGGAAGGAGCAAGATGAGCAATGCTCGGGAGATGAATGAAGAGGGAGACGTTTTCTCCATGTCTCGGGCCGTCGCGCAAGAACTGTTCTACGCGGTCCGTGAGGTTTGCGGCTTCTCAGTTGAGATCCTCAAAGATTTCGTGAAGAGCGTGAGAGAAACCCGAAGAGATCTGCTCGTCAACGGCGACAAGGATGACAGATCTCTGCCTGGCATGAGGGTGGGAAGGGAGAAAGACTGGACGCTTAAGAAGACCTTCTTTGCGTTCTTGGTTGTGCAGATATTGACTTTTTCTCTCTTCGCTGTATTTGCCTGCAAAGAAGCAAACAGAAAGGACATGCTGATCCACCAAATCCGCAGGGAGGCTGCTGAGCTGGAGAGAAAGCGCAGCTTTGAGGCTGGGCTAAAGAAAGCGTCGGAGCTGGTTGGGGTTCCGAGGGTTGCAGCGGCCCCAGTCATCAATCTGCATGAGATCAAGTTCGTTCAGGCGCCAAGTGCTGGACCGTCTCCGAACATGCTCGAGCAGCAAGAGGTGAAAAAGAAGATCTCACAACAAGAAGCAGGAAGCGTGCTGAACGATAGCATGTGGAACAATAGCTACAGGGAGGTGGCGCAGGATAAGGTTGCTCCTCGATCCGCGACGCTTCCTTCAAATTCAAACTCAGCCTTGACTCCACGTTCATCGCAACCATCATCACAATCATCATCACAATCGTCACAAGCATCCACCAGCAGTCAAGAACCGCAACCGTATCCGGATACACAGCAGGCTGTCAGCTATTCCAGCCCCCAGCAGGCTGTCAGCTATTCCAGCCCCCAACAGGCTGTCAGCTATTCCAGCCCCCAGCAGGCTGTCAGCTACTCGAACCAAGGGAGCAGCTACACGGGTCAACAGCCAGCAGTCAGTCAGACTACTTTGCCGGAGTTCAGTCAGTTCCGAGGTCAAGTGAAGTTCCGGCTGGTGGTGCTGACGTGCAACCGCCCGGTCGCTCTCCTCCGCCTACTTACCTCCCTCCTCAACGCTCATTACGACGGCATCCAGGCTGACCTCCACGTCCACCAGGACCGGCCTCCCTCCTCCCCTCCCGACGCTCAGACAACGGCGATCGTCGAGTCCTTCACGTGGCCGCACGGGGTCAAGACTCTCCACCAGTGGTCGACGCACGTCGGCATCCTCGGCAACTGGATCCACTCATGGCAGCCTAACGCGCAGGACGAGAATAAGATCGCAATCTTCCTCGAAGACGATCTCGAGGCTTCTCCTCACTTCGCCCGCTGGTTTCTCGCCGCTCACCTTCGCTTCCTCTCCGACCCTGCCGTCTCCTGCTTCTCCGCCATGCGCGCGCAGCTCCGGGCCTCGGATCCTCGGGGGGAAGGCAACCTAGAGAGCACGATGAAGGAAGGGACGACAGTGTTCAAGTACAAGCTGATGGGCACGTGGAGCTTCTCCCCGAAGGCGAAGGCCTGGAGGGAGTTCCGCGCATGGTTCGAGAGAATGCAGGAGAAGAAGGGCTTCGTCCCGCTGGTGGAGGGCATCATGCCGAGCATGTGGTACCAGCAGTTCCAGCAGGAGGGAAGAGAGAGCTCGATGTGGGAGATGTGGTTCATCCGATTCATGGAGGAGAGGAAGGAGTTCTGTGTGTACCCCTGGCTGGCTGGCAGCAAGACGCTCATGGCGAACTGGAGGGAGAAAGGGCTGCACTACCAGGGGGAGGTGGGGAGAGACCATGAACTTCTGCTGGACTGGGACGCGAAGCTCATCTTCTGGCCCAACATCATCCCTGTCCTCGACTGGGACGGGCAGGAGATAAAAAGCATCATGGATGCGCAACCGCCTCCTCCTCCTCCTCGTTCTCACGCTATCTCCTCCCTCTCCTTCCCTGCCCTCCCTCGCCTCCCCGTCGTGACAACCGTGACCTTGCGTCCTCCTCCAGACGTGCTGACGCAGCTGAACTGTGTGATCGCCAAGGAGGACCTGCTGCTTCGCTCCATGCTTGAGCAGACGATCCGCACGATGCCCTCTGACCTTCTCCTCCTCTTCGTCATCAGCCGCGCCAGCATGCCTGCCATGCTCTCGTGGATTTGCAACACGGAGAGGATCGAGGGAGTGCACGAGCGAACCCTCGTCCTCGTCCTCAACTCGGAAATGTTCCCCATGCTTCAGACCAAGAGCCTCCGCATCAAGGTCGTCGCCTACGAGCAGAATGACGTTTCTCCTCACCGCCTCCTACGAGGCTCCCCAGGGCACTCGAGACTGCAGGCCCTGCGGCTGCGGGCGCTGATAACGGTCCTGACCCTCCATGACAAGGTTCTCTTCACCGAGCCGGACATGGTGTGGATGGAGGCGGTTCCTTCCTCGCCCTCCCCTGCTCCCTCCGCCATCATCTCCTCCTTCTCTCTCAGAACCGACGCTGACTTGCAGCTCCTTGAGGACGACGAGACCTTCTCGGACCTCGTGCTCGTCAAGAGCTCCCCGCAAGTCGTCTGCTTCTTCCGCGGCCTCCTGCAGAACATCAGGGAACAGGCCTCCTCCTCCTCCTCCTCCTCCTCCTCCTCCTCCTCCTCCTCCTCCTCCTCCTCCTCCTCCTC